CAAGAAACACAGGGTACATCCAACACTGGGAACGGCAGGAAACACATGAACATAACGAGTAGAACCGACAGAGACAGACTGCACAGACTAGGACTTAAATACAGGGGATGATTGGGGAAACACAGGTGTATGGGATGACTAATCAAAGCTAATTAACAAAACATGACCAAATAAGGGAACAGAAACAGGGGCAAAACATAACACAGACAGTCCATGATCCTGACATATAATTAATAAAAAATTCTTGTAATAAATGTAATTAATATTAACAGTCAATCATTTTAAGGTAAATCACTGGGGATAACAAAGACTTGAAAAGCATTTTTTAGGCCCTCATGTGTTTCTGGAAGTGAGATGTTTTGGAAGTTTCCTTGTTCCGTACAGATATAGCCTACAGAAAACAGCAGGAAGTGAAAATCAGTGGCAAGACAGAGAAAATGCACGATCGAGAGGGCAGAAAAAGATTATTCATTTTCCAGCCAACATCAGGTTCCATATCTCATTGTACCTGCCTGGCAATGGTTGACCTTTATAAGTATGTGTGCGTGTGTTCTTGGTGCAAGGAAACCTGAGGCAGCAGCAGGTGGATGATTAACCAGCACAAATCACTAGCTACACACACACACACACACAAAGAGTGCAACTCATTTCAACAAAATAGACAAATTCTCACATAAACTCTTTTCTGAAAATCTTAAAATATTCTAACATTTTTCAAACAAAATAATGCAAAACACAACATTTTAACACTTAGCAATAAATATTGCATTTGTTTACATTAGTTAACTACATTTATAAAACATATTACAATCTTAGTTAATGTTAATTTCAACATTTGAGAAATTCAAACTTGTGTTAAATGCCTTATACGAGTTACTACAAAAATATGTTAAATTTACTTGAAGAAAATGTGGAAACCGATTGCACAGTTTTTAAGTCTCCGTAGCTTAAAACGGAAGATTAAACCCATCTTGAGAATAATAGTATTTGAGATGTATTTAGTATTAAAGAACAATATAACACTGTTTTTAAATTGAATTCATATTTTTACTATTTAACCTTCATCATAAGTAATAATTAAATAAGATAATCGAAACTGCACGTTAGAATTTTCAGTGTACTAATACATTATTAAAATCAAAAGATGTATCTGTTAATATTATTTAATGGACCTGAGCTAACATTAATTAACAATGAACAGTTATATTTGTATTAAGTTAACTAGAATTAACAAATATCAATAAATACAGCAAAGACTGTTCTTGTTGTTATTGTTAATTGCTAATTTGAGAATGAGCCAAGGATATAAAATATAGTTGATTTCATATATTCCATAATGTCTTCCAAGAGTGTGTGTTAATTTGGACTCAAGTTATTAAATAAATCGCTTGTTACTAAATAACAAGTGGTAGAAATAAATGAGTTTATGGAATGAAGTGTGTTAATGAAGGAGGATCATTCTTGGAAAGTGTGAGGTTTTGTGTGTGCGATCACAATGGTTTTATATTATATAAGATACTGATTGACAGAAGTATCTGATCTTTGACTTCTTTAACACACAGGACAATATTTGACAATCAGCACATATAAACTCACACACACAGGTACACAGGAACACACACAAGGCTTTTGTAACCCGACAGATCAATTATTATCTCTTGGGTGAAACTCCTTCGATCTCAGTAAAAGAAAAGAGTGAAATGTAGAAGGGTAGAACAATACACACGCTGGCCTCCCAGAGTGCTGTACTGACAGCAAACACACACACATGCTGTACAGAGCAGGGTCACTGTGGCTTGGAAAATGGATCAGCACTGACATTTTGCATGATGGGAAAAAGTGTGAAGGAAATAACTTAGAGAAAATCATTCACTGAGATTTTAATCCTTTTTTTTTTGTTTTTGTTTACGTGTAATAACCATACATGTGTTTATACTCCAGTTTGAAAAGATTGTAGTATTGCTGTTATGCGGCTATGGTGTGAATTAACAACGAGGTTGTGATTTTGGCCTGGTTGCAAGATACATCCTTAAAAGTGCAAATATACACTCTCTCACAACAGATAATGAAGAGGCATTTGAGTCAGTAACAAATAAGAGTGTCCATGATAAAGAAAAAGGTAAAAAAATTTTTTTTTAAAAATTCTAGTTTGAAACACATTTGCCAAGTTTTGAAAAAGTTTAAATTTTTTAAAGAAAAGTTTCAATTTGATAACCATATTAAAAACTTGTGCAATCAAGTGCAAAGTAACATTTTTCTTACACCTTAAATACATAAGTGTACACATCTAAATAATGACTTCCTAAAAAGTTTTTAAAAATGTTTTTCAAGTTAAAATGTTTCTTTACAAATTCGTAAATATTATGCATTTTTGGGAAATTGCACCACATCAAATTTTACAACCTGAACTAAATTTGCTTTATAAAAAAATATCTGCAGTGTTTTTATCTATAATTTAGAAATTATATATAATTTGCTGTTTTATAAAATAAATTGTATATGTAATTTCCTGTTGTATGTTCACTGCATGTTGGTCACAGCAGACAACTTTGATTTAACAGACAAAAGTTTTTCAAATATTAATAAGCAGTGTAGCAGTTTTTGTAAATACATAATTTCCCCTATGAAATAATAAAAAGTATGCAAAAGTCATTTTTGACTTTATGCCCCCAAAACATCAAATTCTTTTTTAGTTAAGGAGTTAACTAATATATATATAATTTTCTCCATGTTTTTTGCATGTTTAAATATTAATAACCAGTGTAGCAGTTTTTGTATATGATTTTAACAAAAGATTTCTTAATGCTATCAGGACAGTTGTTTCACCAGACGTTTTTGACTTTATGCCCACAAAAATATCAAAATAATTTTTAGTTAAGGGATTAAAAACATGGTTATCATAAAAGATGCATATTTAAGTTACTGCATGCATGCCTTGCATTTTTATGTATTTTTGAATAAATTAATAGATGAGTCAGATGAGCACATCATATCATTGACCCATTTGTGTCTGTCTTTCTGTTTATGTGTAGATATTGGGCATCTCTTTAGTCATGTCAAGGACTCTTCAAACGATATACACATTATAGAGCAACCAAGAGAGCGAAGAAAAGCCCTCACATATGCACAAAAGCTCTGCTGGAGTGTCATTAAAGACTCTCAGGGGTAAAAGGTGGCTAAAAGACATGGGTGAGAGAGTGTTTGTGTGTTTTTTACTGTGTCTGAATGTTGGTGTGTCAGCAAGGTTTAGATTAACTCCTTTTACACTCAGCATCCATACAAGGTGACCAGTGCGTTAAGAGTCAAAGTTTGTTGCCATGGCCAACAGATAATCTGGTGAGTTAATGTTTATTGCTGAAGAGACTCTTAAAACCGCTCATTTAAAAAAATAAAAAAAACACTCACATGATGAACCGAAAAGTGCAGAACCTTTGTGTTCTTAGTGACTAAGCAAAAACTCTATAATGGTGTCCTATAATTATTAAACCTCGTCTCTGACAAACGTTGACCTTTGTGACACTTCATAATCAAGCAGATCATTAACATTAAGTTTCTCTAAACGAGGCTCCACAATTCTTTTTAATTTAACACACTCTCTATATTCTATATCGAATTTTTCGGTTGCCAATGGTCAGTATCTAGAGTTTAGCACAACAGAATGGCAATAGATGCAGATAATATGCTTTAATGATAGCGAAAGAAAACAACTACAGAAATTAAATGGATAATTTACACAATATTTACTTAAGGGGAGACACTGCAGGCAAAAACACTACTTTTTCATGCACCTGTCAAGTTTGAGATTTTGGGCTTTTTGGTTTTTCATAAAGTGTTTTTTCAGACAAGTGGAAAGAAAACATCCAAAATACACTGTTAAGTGTTTCTTTTATAGCACTTTATCTATTTGTGTCAATAGATTTCAATTACAATACATATTTTTAAAGGCTACGTAATAAAAACGTTTGACTCTAATATGTCAAAAAAAATTAAACAAGAATTTTGAAACTGACATCATCCAGTGTTTAGATTTTTGTACAAGACATTTATGCAAATTAGCGCATATTTAATTAAATAAAGATTTCATTAAATCTAAACCTAACATTTTAGAAAACTTGTAATACAAAAAATGTTTGCAATTACCAATGTAATCAATCAGCTGGGTAAGTAAGGCGATTTTTTACCCTATTCACCTGCAGTGTCTCACCTTAAAGTTCATGAAATTCAGCTTTCATTTTAAACAGATTATCCAGTGAAAAAGCTGCTGGTTGATTTTGAAAGTGACACAAGAGGGAACTACAACTTCTGTTAATCAGCCTAGCAGTTATAGTTATAGGCCAAAGTGGCCAAATGTTGTCCAACACAAATATGTGAGCATAGACTTACTTTAGCAGATACATTTTATTCTCACTGACTGTTCACTGGAACTCTGTGTAATGATGTGATCCAAACAGCGAGCTAATGCATCATCTGTTTGTCAACAACAATCGATATGAATACTGAAAGTGAAGAAATGTGAAAATATATGAGTGAATCACTTGAAAGCTGTCAAGAACAAAAATTAGATCTTAAGTTTTCATGACGTAAAAAAATCCTTGTATTCAGTGGTGAGAAAGATCTAAAAAGAATCAGCACGGAGAACTATCAGAGTTACAAGAAAAACTCAGTATTGAAAGGTATGTATATGGTCCTATAAATATGCTATGTGCATTGCAGATGAACGTCTGGATCACAGGAGATGAATTTACGATATTACGTAAAGAACACATTACGGTTTCTTAAAACAGAACACTGGCGTCAAACAATGTCAGACAGAGTGAGAGACGTGTGGACATGGTGACCATCATACCCACAACACCATTCTCAATTCCTGTAATCCTTAGTTTCAATTCTCTATGAAAACATGCTACAGTAAAACATTTATCCAGTCATTCATATAAAACACACACAATGATTTTGTTCTCATGACAAAAACAGGCATTAAATAACTCAAACAATCAGTGTTATTTTAGTATTATTATATACTCTTATAGTATTCATTAATATTTAGAATTTGTTTTTATTCATAATTTTTGTTTTGTAATTTTGTGGTTTTTATCTCTATTCAGCTTTAATTTATTTTATTTCAGTTTTAGTTAGTACTTCTACTTAAACTTTTTATATTTCAATTAGTAAGGCAACATTTCTAATTTTCACTTTTAAAAGTTTAAAAAAAATTTTTACCTAATATTTACGTTTTATTTTATTTCCGCTTTATTTCAATCAGTGAAAACAATGTTTATCAGTTTTATTTTTAGTTAACACTGCTAAACGTATTTTATTTCAATTAGTTACTAAGGGTACATTTCTAGTTTTTTTTTATTTTTTAAAGTTTTAAGTTTAAAAGTTAAAGTTTAAAGTAAACCTAATATATTTTATTTCAGTTATTTCAGATATTTAAATTTCAGTAGTTTTAGTTAACACAGCTAACAATCAATAACAAACAAGGAAAAAGGAAGTAAAAAACTAAAAATGATTAAGGTTAAGTGTATACACACACAATCAAACACAACATCACATATTAAGCATTTTTGCATACACACACACACATATCGAGTGGACAAATCACAAATGAACACATCTTCCCATAACCTAAAGCACTTCAATTCTTTTTACCATAACTACACTGCACACATTAGAGCATTGGGATGAACCACAAATGCTGATGACATCTTGAGGTTTCTTATCTTGCAGTCTGAACTCTTCACTCCTGAAGTTAATCTACTTACTGCAACACAATGTGACGAGGCCTGATCAAACACAATCTGCTGATACAGACACACACAGCTGATGATTTGCTCAAAAAAGGCCTCAAGTAAGCACATCACTGATGTCTCATCACTTTCACCTGATGATTTTTCGGTGAGAAATCTGCACACGGAGAATCGAGATATCTGCCACTGACTGGAGAAATACAGGAACCTTTCTGATAACAGTAACACGCACAGGTCTGGGCCCACCCTAACAGCAAACATAAGGCTGAAGAAGTCGAGTCCAAAGACCAACAACCAACGCAGCGAACTGTGACGCACAATTACATTTTACTCTATTTTACGCTCACTTGCATAAACACACAATGCTGCTAGTCAAATTACCTAAGATGCTATTTATATTTCAACAGTACATTTATATTTCAAAATCCTTACCATACAGCAAACAAATGTATCGTTTTCATTTTTTCAGTTCCCCTGAAGGTCATAAAAGGTCATTACAACATTGCCACTCAAAAAGAACACACAAGTAAACACCAATCATTTAAATAAAGCCTCAGCCAGAACTAAACAAGCAGAAAAAACACACATACTTCAGAATCCCAGCAGTCACAGTCACACAATGAAGAAACACAGGTTACCTGCCTTTTCAGGTGAATGAATGTGTGTCCGAGTGGCAGTGTAGCTGGTGTGTGTTTCACTCACAGTCACACACACACACTCAGGCCTTCTGTCTGTCTGGCGTCAGCGGCTAGCCTCTTCTCTCTCTCGCTCTCACACACAGTCTGTGGGGTAGAGAAGCAGAGTGTGTGATTGGAGGTGCAGTTGGTAAAAGAGTGTTTACTCAGTGCATGTGAGGGGTGGGGCAGAGCAAAGGTGCCCCCTCCTACACCTCTCTCCTATATTTCTTTCTTTCTTCCTTCCTTTTCCTTGTCACACCCAAGAACCCTTCTCTCCCGTTTTTTCTGGGAGCAAACGAGACGTCTGTGCGGGAGCGTGACTGCGTGCTGTGAGCTGTGAATGAGGTTGTCCATTGACTGAGCAAAAGTTCATTATAGGTGGCAACTGATTGAAAACTATTCAGTCTAACCTGAAATCAATTTCCTGAATTCCTGCATTCAAAAACATTTCAAGACAAACAGTTTGAAGATCAGCGGCCCTCATGCACATTCAAACCGGGAAAGGACTGTGAAATCTTCTCATTCCTGTTCCTAAGAAACAGGTACTTACACGTTACAGTGTGTTTTATGTTGCTTTAGTTACTTTGATAAGGTGGAAATCATTGATTCGCAGAAGGGAGTGCGTGCTGGAGTGAAACAGTATATAGAAACTGAGACAACCAAGACTGGCCATATAAAAAGAAAAAAAGAAAAATAAATACAGTCATGGCCAAAAATATCGGCACCCTTGGTAAATATGATCAAAGAGGGCTGTGAAAATTAATCTGCATTGTTAATCCTTTTGATCTTTTATTTACAAAATTCACAAAAATCTAACCTTTCGTTGGATAATAAGAATTTAAAATGGGGGGAAATATCATTATGAAATAAATGTTTTTCTTTAATACACATTGGCCACACCAATGTGTATTAGAGAAAAACATTTATTTCATAATGATATTTCCCCCCATTTTAAATTCTTATTATCCAACGAAAGGTTAGATTTTTGTGAATTTTGTAAATAAAAGATCAAAAGGATTAACAATGCAGATTAATTTTCACAGCCTTCTTTGATCATATTTATATTTCTGTGAAACAGGAAGCCATGGCTGGATAATTTCAAATGTGTGATTGTACACTGCCATTCAAAAGTTTGGGGACTGTAAGTTTGTTTGTTTATTTATTTATTTTTGAAAGAAATTAAAACTTTTATTCAACACGGATACATTAAACTGATCTAAAAAGACATTTATAATGTCATTTCTGTTTCAAATTAATGCTGCACTCTGTATTCATCAAAGAACCCTGAAAAAAGGGAATCATGGTTTCCACTGAAATATTAAGCAGCACAACTTTTCAGCTGATTTCAACTTTAATAATAATAAAGTGCATTTCTTGAGCACTAAATCAGATTTCTGAAGGACCATGTGACCCTGACAGTATTACTGTATTTTTGGGACAGAAAAAAACCCTCACTAACCCTTTTAAATTATGCTAAAAAGCAACACTTTCCTTTATAGCCCACATATTGGTTTGAAAACAAAGTTCATGGACATGTTATTTATCAACTACCCGATTATATTTTTCTGCAGAGTCAGCAAGATGTCATATGATGATGGTCACTTGTTACACATTTAGCTGTAACTACTAAACATGGGGGTGGAATGAGGGAGGGCAATGAGGGAAGAGCGACGGGGGACGTGCATAAACAGGAAATGATGGTGTGCTTAAGAGGCAAAACAATTTTTGTTTGAGGCGGTTGGCTGATCAGAAGAATCCTTAATAGCCACACAAAATAAACAAACACACACACACACACACACACACACAAAGGGGTGGCAAACCAGTTGGATGGATCCCTCAACTGTCTACAACAGTCTGTGCTCACAATGCTAGTGTACACACATTAATTCACAAGGAAACATTTCCGAAGTTTATCCCCACTCGCTGAAAATACAACCTTGAGATGTAAAATAGCACCATCAGATATTATCTTTTAAATCATTAGCAACATTATAAAACCTGGGCACATGATGCATTGTGGGTAGGCCATAAAGCAGGGTGAGGCTGTGTAGAGTCAACATACTTCGAGAGGGTGCAAAGTCTGCATTTATAACCTTATCAGTGCCCACTCTACACATCTAAAACCTTTAAATTCTAAATTCTTTATTGAGTTCAAGTTCTTCTTCTGTGCTTCCTCAAGATGGAGTGTGTTTGTTACAGAAAAAGAGGGACAAAGTATTAGATAAACATGAATGAAACGTATTAAATATATCCTCAAGGGACAGTTGGTAGAAGACGTGTGTGTGTGTGTGTGTGTGTGTGTGTGCCCTGAGGTAAAGTGAAACAGACAGGCCCTGACAGAGCACAGGATCCACAGATGTCTGACTGACAGATCTGTGAGCACTGTAACTGAGCCTTTGCTCTAGACGAGAC